CCTTTCCCCTCTGGCAGGTCCACCAATTCCCACGTTCTTGCTTTCATTAGGGCTTTCATCTCTTCATTCATGGCTTCTTTCCACCTTGGATCAAATGCCGCCTCTGAGTACCTGGAAGGGACACATACAGAAGAAAGAGCAGACACAAAGGAGTGATAGGCAAGAGATAAGTGTGAGTAAGAAACAAAATCAGCTATGTGATGCCGGGTGGTACAAGAACGAACTGGCTTACGGAGAGCAATAGGAAGATCCAAATCCGAAGTGAGCGAGTCAAAATTACCTTGGATTGCTGAGACAGATTGATCTGAGTTCAACTGGTTGCAATCATCAGGTTGGGGGCCCTTCTTCCTTCTGTTGTATGTAAGTATCTCTTTCTCTTGCCTACTAGAACCCTCAGGAGCATCTGCTGTATCAGGAGAAGTAACTGGCACAGTGGGAGCCTCACTAGGTTGACCCGGAATGTCACAGCTAGGAATAGTGGAAGGTGATGAAAGAGGAACAAAAAAGAAGGGAGAATGAGAATCCTCTTCCAACCCACTAGTCTTCCCCCGAAGAGGATTCTGAGAAGACTGAAAATAGGGTTGAGACTCAAAAAAGACTACATCTCTGGTGACATACTTTTTCTTGGAGACAGGATCATAATACTTGTACCCCTTTTGTGTAGGAAAGTACCCCAAAAATATTCCCTTCGTAGCCTTGGGATCCAGCTTGGTTTTCTTTGGATCCTTCACATGTATGAAGCATGTACAGCTAAAAACCCGTGGGGGAAGAGGAAATTCTGGAAGAGTGGGACACAAAATAGAGAAAGGAGTCTTCATACCCAATACCTTAGATGGCATCCGATTTATCAGGTATGATGTAGTGAGTATAGCTTGAGACCAATATTGCTTGGGCACTTTGTGCTGGAATAGTAGGGCTCGAGCTGTCTCCAATAGGTGCCTGTTCTTGCACTCAGCAACCCCATTTTGCTGAGGGGTGTTAGCATAGGATGATTGATGTAACATGACTGCATCTTCCATGAATGAGTTCAAGGATCTTTCAAAGTATTCAGCCGCATTGTCTGACCGGAATTGCTTAATCTTCTTATCAAATTGTGTTTCAATCATCTTGCAAAAAACCATAGTTACCTGTGGTACTTCATCACGTCCTTTTAATAGATAAATCCAAGTGCACCGAGAATAATGGTCAATAAAACTAAAAAAGTAACGGAAGCCATCAATGGAAATAATGGGTGAAGGTCCCCAAACATCAGAATGAACCAAATCAAAAGGAGCTCGAATTTCGTTACTAGAAATTGGATACACTGTTCTACATTGTTTTGACATTTGACACACATCACAAATTAAGCTTTGACTTGGAATTCCCTTAAACAATTCGGGAAACAACATTGCTAA